TTTGTATTAGATGTTGAGAGCGAGGAATACTATTGTTCCACATCAGATAGCATCGGCTTTAAAATTCTACTACACAATCCGCTTGAAGTGCCTAATATGAGAGAAATTGGACTTTTGCTTTCGCCTGGGCGAGAAACAAAAATCCGCATTCAACCTGATAAAATCGAATCTGAAAGATATCTACGTTATATTAGTAAAAGCTAACGTAAATGCTTATTCGAAGATGAGGAATATTTGGAAATGTACAATGAGTATACGCAACGCAACTGTGGAGTTCAATGCAGTGCTGGAGAAATTTTGGAAAGTTGTGGCTGCTTGCCATATTACGTACCAATGATATATGGTAATGAAACCATTTGCGGCGTGCGTGACTACTCCTGTGCTGAGCGTATTCGAATGGAGACCTTGCTCATAAAAAACTCGAGAAGGGTTTGTTCAGAGTATTGCGCTCCTTCCTGCAACGATCTCTCCTACTTCCCATCGTTTTTTTCTGCTCCACTACTAAATACCAGTTTTCAGGGTGAAGAGGACAAATTGGATAAAAATATCAACAGCACGTATTTGGAGAAAAATATCGCTGTGGTAAAAATATACTTCAGAGACAGCACCTATAGAAGCCAGAAAAATTCTGACTTCATTGGAGCAACAGATTTCTTATGTAAGTTGGTGAATAAAAAGGCATTTTAGATTTAAAAATTGTGTAACTGCTTACATTTCAGCAAATATTGGAGGTATAATTAGTCTATTCTTCGGCTTCAGCTTTATATCGCTAGCTGAGTTGGTCTACTACGGTATCCTAAGGCCGTTGAGGTTGATTTTCTACATACAAAAATCCCAAGTTGCCAGGTTGGCTAAAACACAAAAACGCAAATCAATTCAGCTTTTCTTCAGAAACCAATCAATTCATAAAATTGACACGATGAGGCAAAGTACTTTTTTCACACAATCAAATAAAGTCGCTATAAAAAATTATGGATTTGGAATTGAAAGAAAAACTTCTCGGAATGCATGGGAGGCTGGGATGGAGTATACACCTTAAGAAGGCTTTGAGTAACAGTGTATTGTAAGATATATTTCGGCACTAAATACATACATACATACAATAAATACAATAAATGCTTACATATATGATGGGCAATTTCCTTCTTTAACTACCTTTAATTGGGTTAATTTTTTACTCAGTGTGGTCGAGTGCACTTAGATCCATTGTTTTACGATCGTGGGATCAAAGGTAATAAAATCTGAGTAAACAAACCTTATAAATAGAAGTCCGAGATGTACATTTGTTCGGCAACTGGGAACAACAGCTCTCTTTTTATTAATTGGTGAGGACTTCGCCTGAGCGCCCGCCTTCTTCATAATAGTTCAGAACAGCGCCACTGTTATAGAAAAACAATTTTTTTTTTAATTTTAGTTATAAGTTGTTCGTGAACTGAAAAAAACTTTTAACCAAAATTAATAGTGCAGACCGTAAAAACAATTATTCCAATAGATGTCTGTAATTGTAATTTTCTCCAATACTTTTCTGTAAAACAATCGAACATTTAACTCTATTAAACTTAACATTAAAACTACAATAATTCTGTTCAAATTCAAGCAGTGGATGTGATTATTTATGAAGCGGTATCGGTGGCTTTTGCTCATCAGTTGTCGAATGTACTCTAATCAGACACTGCCTCCTACATAACAATGTGAGATGAGAGAACGCTTTCAGCTGCAATATGTTCATTGACAGCGGTTTTCAGTCTCTCAATGCGCTAGATTCCGAGAAAAATGGCTCAGGCTGCGGGTTCTTACTTTATTTATAGTCACCTTGCGATTGTAACTATATTTAGCAAAGAGAGGACCAAAATCTCTCATTCTCATTCTTATTGCAGATATGATGGCATAGACGTGGATAGCTACCACTCCACACTAAATATGTAAATTAATTTAACACACTTTCAAAGCGACATAGTAGAGACTGTTGGTATGATATGGTTGTTCTTTAAGCGGGAAATCGGTATTCGAACCCCGAATTAGTCGGATAATGGAAGGTATTTTCCATCATAATCGGTTAGTCGGTGGCGGTTTTCGATTCGCCATCTCCGGGTGTTGCCATTCAGGAGGCTGGAGAAGTATGCTTTGAACATCAGTCATCTGCTTCCCACATTAATAATAATATTCGCCACATCTCATCTCATCAAATAGACTTGCAAAGAAGTTTTATGCATTAAAAACATCCGGGATGCGGAAAAAAATACCTTAAATGGATAGAAAAGCTATGATAATTTTAGTGAAACAAACTTTTTAAGTGGGAAATTTTGAGTGCTCACGAATACTTGTACCAAATATTATGTCATGTCAAACCCGCCTCTGAAGAAGAGACAAATCAGCCTTCTAAAGTGCAATGTCAAGCCAAGAGCCCATTCTTACTAATGGGTTTTTGTTTTAATTTGGTTTGAGATTTTATTGTTAGGCTTCCGTTGTCGAAGCAGATTCAATAAATAAATATTAATGTTGAAAAAAAAAATAAAATAAGAAGCGGCCAGAATTGGTCAATCGTAAATGTCTCATATTCCACCAGGAATATTATAGACTTCACACATTTTTGGTCACTCGCCAAGAACTCACAGAGCTTGGCTGGGAACTGTTGACGCATCCACCCTACAGCCCTGACCTTGCATTCTTAGGCTACCATTTATTTTGATCTTCACAAAAAAGAATCTTACCAAAAAATTGGAGTTATTTCGGGAACCATCACTTCTGGGTATGCAATTAATAAGGAAGCTTTCGCAGGATTTGCGCTTGTTACCGCAAAGTTATTTGTTAAGCTATATTCGTAAGAATGATGTCCGATGAAGCTTTTGAGTCCCGAAATAAATATTTTTAGATATTCCCGTGAACACAACACTACAAAAATGTATTGGGAAAAAACCAGATTATATATACAATGGCTCAAAAATGAACTCGGACACCCAAGTTATATGACTTCAAACAAAAAATTATTTATACAATGCAAATCTAGGGCTTTCTGTCTTTCTTATTTCTAATAACATCCATTTTCAGTTTATTTTCCAAATGAGCCCACAGATGTCCAATTACGTAAATGTCGGGAGAATGAGGAAGTGTTTCAAGCACTAAAGGATAGTTATACATCAGCCATAGACGGACATCAAGTGCTTCATGCTTGGGATCGTTGTCTTGATAGTACTGGAAATGGTCTTTAATTCCCAACTTTTCTGCACTTTGCACTAAATTTTCTTTTGAAATGGTCTGATATTGCTTCTGGTCCATATTACGATATATGAAACACAAATTTCCAGCACCAGCTACGGACATACAACCCCATACCATTACTGAGCCGCAACCGTGTTTAACAGTCGGACGTAAATTCTTTTCCAGCAACTCTTCACTAGGTTTTCTCCAAACATTAGACTGTCCATCTGACCTAAATATATTGAATTTTCTTTCATCTGCAAATAAAACTTGTTTCCAGAATTGAAAATCTCTATCCACATGACATTTTGCAAATTTTATCCTTATGTTTCGGTTAATCTCGTTTATAAATGGTTTCTGCCGTGCTACTCCTCCATTATAATCATATTTTCGTAATACTCTCCGGATTACAATTTATATTGAGCTGTTGCAAAACGTCATGCACAGTCGAGCGGGGTCTGCTCACAATTTCTGCGATTTCCCGAATGGTTTTTCCCAATAACTAATAATTAACTTCCTTAATTCAAGTGAGCTTTGTCCACGCTGTCTACCCATGTTTGAACTTTTCACCTTTTTTCCAAAAAAAAAAAACTACTGAAATTTTATTCTAGGCTATTACGTTTGATTATTTACATACATATGTATTTTTAAAAGAAATCAAACTAATTGTGGGTTTATCCTTTTTGAAATGCCATGGACCTGTAATATTACCAGATGTCCGAATTCTTTTTTGGCGAAATTTCTAGCATACCACATGTTAATTTTTTGAATCAAGGGTATAGGAGACCTGTAAACTATTTAATTTGTTTGTTATTGGTATTTCTTAAATCCTTATGGGATGCGCTATAGAAATTTAAAAAACAAAAATGCTTAAAATCAATTGATTAAAAAAAATCTAGCTGAAGCTGCATTTTAATAACATGTATGTCCGAGTTCTTTATTGAGCCACTGTATATTATCATTTTACCGATGAAGGAATGTCAATGCCTTTGGAATCTTTTACACCACGAAACGAAGGCATCATGATGGATTCAGGAGAAAAATTAGATGCTCTCAAAGAGAAGATATTAATTTATTCAAAATAAATTTAAGTTTTTAACCACTGTCAGGTCGATTTCTGTTACTGTTACATATTTTGAGCGATTCGCGGCAGGGCCAATAGGGCGGTGAAGCAAAAGTCCGGTTACAAGCGACTGTTCAAAAATGTCATTGAAAGTATCACGTAGAAGTTGGAAAAGGAAAACGAAATTAGAAAAAAGATACAGAAGGATGAGGAGGAATGGAATGGCATTAAATTATTTAGTTTTTCCGAAATGCATACGAAACATACATACAAATGCCGTAAATAATAGTGGTCATGAAAATTACTTAAAACAAAATAATAATAATAACACTCTTTAGATTCTCGTATATACTATATATACATATATGTATGCATATACATACAAATACGGTAATGCGTATGAAGTTCGAATTTAACTTCGTAACTCTATCAAATTTAGATACTTATTTATATATGCATGCGTGTATCGCACTTAAGTCAATTTTATCATTGGCAACATTTACATACCACTTTTGGTTCAATGGACATATATTATATTATATATATATATTTATATTGTTATTTACCAAAATGTGAGCTTTGAATTGTTATTATTTATGTGTTAACGCCTGCAATATATTACACATAATTATACACATACACGCACGTATAAGTTCACAAATCTATACAAAAATGTTTAAATTTTGCCTTTGATGTCAAATGGCATCGACGCTCCGCGGCGGTATCGGTGGTATTGCTCAGACCACGGAAAACCCAGTGCAAGTGTCGGTAATAATGGAGCCAATAAAGAAGAAAGCACAAAATTTCATGGAAATCAAGTGCCCAAAAATTAGAACTTTCATAGGGAAAAACACTAAAGACTATTGTAATGACACCACTATACATGGTCTTAAATATATAGCCAATAGCAGTCTGTTTCCTCTAGAAAGGTGAGAAAATTAAATGTTTAAATTTAAAATTCCTTGTATGAAAGACTAAAATTTAAAAAACACAAATTGCACGGTCTTGATCTTAGGACCTTTGATCTGTAATTGTATGATAACAAAATGTGGAGTAATTTAACTTTTCTCTTTCAGAATATTTTTCGCATGTTCTTTTGTGATTGTCGTGCTTGGTGCGGTTTTTTTCGTGGATAAAGTCTATGAAAAATGGAATTATACACCGGTTATAATGAGCATAAATTCTCAGCCCACTGGAATAACTCAAGATCCCTTTCCGGCAGTTACTATATGCAATTTGAATTTGGCTTCTAAACAAAAAGTTGAACGGTTTTCCATGTAAGTTTTTAAGATTTTCATGCATGCTCAGTTACCAGAGCTGTGGAAAGTGCACTAATATTCTAAGGCAAAGTTGCGTGGTAATGGTAAATTTCACCTTAATCAAACAAATTTGGTTGAAATACTTGGAAATGTTATCGTAAAAGTATGTATTTAAATAAATCTTATTTCATTTTTACCCGAAACGAAAAGCTCTTAAATCGTTAACGGATAATGTTACGCGTTAAAATTGAATTAAAATTGCTGTTAATAGCATAGCAGAGCAAGCAGTCATGCTAAAATTAATGTTAACGCTGAGTCTGTTTTGGTTTGAATGATAATGATTTCATTTCTTTTTAATAACATGGCGCGATTAGTAAAATTTATCTGTTCTAAAGTATTGGTAAAATAATTTTATGTTTAATTTTTTTACTTTTTCGTTAATGTATAATACAACGCTTCCTAGATTTATGGAATGACCAGATTGCCAAAGGACGCGCAAGGTCAATTGTGTATTTGCATCTGTTCCTACTGATCTCTGGTAGCAATCTTAACGTAAGCCCCCTAGTGTGGGTGTCCATTGGAGAAAAGCCGCAGAGCACACTTTTGGTCCAACTCCATTTAATACCTTGAAATTAAATTGTGGAAATTATTTGCATTTATTAATTTCAAAACGAATCAGAGGGATTCAGTGGGTTGCTGTGGCCACGAAAAATTCTCTTCCTTAATTTTTCCATTTTTTCCCCCAAATAGCAGCCACAAATAATAAATTCATTTTATATAATTTTTCTCCAATAACAAACAACTTAAGGATTCATAAATAAATTGTTAGTAGTGACTTGCTTTTTGCTCGAATTTCTCAATTCCAATAGAATTGAAGAGCACGCTTTTGTTCCCGAATCGGAAATACAGAGTGATCCATTTTGAGGTTTTGTAAATAAACGTAAATAAAACGCATTTAAAGTAATGTTTTTCAGTGATATTCCTTTTGTATTATATATTTTGAGCTTTGGTGTTAAATAAGAAATATCACATTATTCAAGTGACCGCCTCGTGAATTTTCGCCAACTTCGAAAATAGCTTTACTCTAGTCTTCGGCTACACTTTAACTTGCAGTACCGATACTCCGCTTGAGTAGTTGAAGAATTATGTGTGCCATAACCTCCACTTAAGGCACGAAATGAAGCCACGTTTGAATCACCACGTTAATAGTAGTTTAAACAACTTTACCGCATTGTGCAGTTGCTTATCCATCCCTCTTCATAAATTTCTGGCCTTTAACTAAAACAAAACATATTTGGTTTGAAAACTGAAAGAGGCAAATCTCAAAATACATCATTGTACCTTTGAGACCACAAAATGGGTAACCCTATATACATTTATAATCAATTGTTAAAAATCAATAAACAGATTTAGTATATTGAAAGCCAATTCTTGCTTGAAGGGTCATGCCAATTGAATACGACGATAGACTGGCAAGAAAGATTATCCGACAACTCCACAAACGAAATATTGGTTCAGTAAGCGGAAAATGAATTGGCAAAAGACTTCTTTTAATTGTATAGATAAAAATCTTAAGTAACATAAATCGTCTTTTTCTCATATGTAATTTAATATGACGAGGTTTTTATTTGAGAAGAAAAGCCAAAATTCTTGCAGTATAGAATATAGAAGAGAAGAATCGTAAAAAATGTACCAACCTTTTACAACTCTGGTAAACAGCGATCTTCAAGTTGAAGATGCATGTAAAAACTACACAAAGTTTATATAAAACATCTTTTTAGCTATTCACTTGAATATACTATGATACAAATGATGTGCAGATATCCTGTCAATGAAACTATTGCTAATGAAATTACCGACTGGAGCAACTTAAGAGGTTTTGTTTCAGAGGTAATTATCGTCAAATTAACACCTGCTCGTATGTGCGCTGTAGTGAATTTCTTAAATACTAACCTTCTTGTGTCCTTATCCCGTCCGTCGCACTTCTTGGCCGGTGGTGATGTCAGCTTTTAATCCTACTTGGACACTCACTAGCTGGGCATCGTCACCTTTCTAATTAAGGGACAGATCATCAAGTCCATGCCTCTCACCCGAGGATTTAGCTACCTCTCGGCACTAAATATCATATTTCTGACTTAAAGGAAAAAGTTTATCATAAAAGTCCACCAGCCGTCTGAAGACCACTTGGAATAAATTGTTGTTCTCTCCATTTGTTGCATTAAAAAAACAGACATTACAAGTATAGCTCGATCAAAAATTGTGCCATTACTTACAATTAAAATTATTACTTTTAAGATAACGCTTTGTCAGAGACTATTGAGTTATGCTCAACCATTGTACAGCTTCCAGAGCAGGAAAGCTTAGCGTCTGTTTTCCGTTTGAGCTCACAACTGAGAACGATTTCGATTTTCGTTTCAATTGCCATTCGTGGCCACATTTCACTTTAAGTTCAGATTTGAATGAATGATTTTGAAAACCTATAACAGAAACCAACAAGGACTATGAAAAACCTAAAAGTTAATTTATAGTGGACGAAAAAATATGTTCTGCGCAGTTAGTTGCTGTAGTGAGGGGACCATATTGAAAAATCTGTTGAGAATTATCTGCTATCCCTGCTAAACCTAACAAAGGTAATGCACATCCTCTTGTCATACAATTTGAGTCTCAAATTTCGATGGATGAGGGGCTTTTTACTATATGAAAAATGTCATATGCATACAAACAGGTGTTAACTATTCGAAAGCCGTGAAGTCATGAGTTACGCTAATAACATTTTCTTTTTAAAGTAGATCTCGCAGACATGTAGTGAAATGCTGATCAGCTGCAAATACGGTGGAGTTAAGTACAAATGTACTGAAATTTTCCAGCCCGTTATAACCGACAGCGGTTCATGTTGTGCTTTTAATATGATTCATGGAAAGTTCTTGTTCAGAAGGTTAATTAAAAAATGTATTTATTTTAATTATTTATTAATATGACAAAAATATATGCAGAAACCCAGAGTGTGCTAACTGCACAGCTCAAACACCGAAGGGCACTGAGCACGTTGAATGGAGTCCAGAGAACGGTTACCAGAAAAATTTGCCTCGAAGTTATAGTCCTATGCCTGCAGTTGGCACGGGCGAAACATTGGGCTTGTCCGTAACACTGGATGTGCAAGCTGATAATTATTACTGTTCATCTGGGAGTAGCGTTGGTTTCAATATGCTATTACATAATCCTCTTGAGGTGCCTAACATGAGAGAAATTGGTTTGCCACTGACGCCCGGTCGTGAGACAAAAGTCCGAATAAGAGCTGTTAAAACCGATTCGGAACAGGGCTTGCGTTCAATGAGTAAAATGTCGCGGAGATGTCTCTTCGCCGATGAAAAACCTTTAGAGTACTATAGATTTTATACACAACGCAATTGTGAGGTGGAGTGTTTGGCGAAAATGCTGTTGAAATATTGTGGTTGCGTAACACATTTTGTGCCCTTATTTTTGGAGAACCAAAACCAATGTGGTATTTACGAGATGTCCTGCGTGATGCGTATACACCTGCAATCGATGGTTACAAATAATGGCAAGGGTTGTCCCGAAGTCTGCCTGCGCGGTTGCTATGATTTGACTTACCTACCGGATTTCTTCACAATACCGTTATCACATTCAGGATTTCAAGTCATTAACCAAGGCATTAAGAATATGAGTAGTGCCTACGTAGAGAAAAATGTTGCAGTAGTAAATATTTACTTCAAGGATGTCGCGTACAGAAGCAGCAAACAGGCGGAATATATTGGAATAACGGATTTTTTATGTAATTTCAAACTGAAGAGCAAACTTATCGGGATTTCTTACTTAAAAAAATCTTTCCTTTGCAATTTTTATTTCAGCAAATATTGGTGGAATCCTTGGACTATTCTTTGGCTTTAGTTTCATGTCTTTAGCGGAATTCATATTCTATTTTCTTTTGAAGCCGATTCGGGTGCTGATTGTTAAATCTTGGTCAAAACGAGTCATAAAAAGACGAATGTCCAAAAAGTTGAAGCCCTTTGAAAAACTTTCGAAACCATCCAACCAACTGAATTCAAGTGAACAGATAGAAGCTGTTGATAGTTACTTTAAAGGTAAAAACCACACAGATATTTTTCATTCGAAAGGAGAGGGTCTGCC